GGTTATTTAACAGTTCGCCATGGACATTTTAATTTATGGATATTTATGGCCCATAGAAATAGATGGTTTACCTGTCTGGGTTTACCTGGGTTTAGCTATTAAAAATGGGATAAAATGGGTGGATCTTTCCATGGCTATGTGGCTTGGAGGGGTCCCAGGTAGCTGGCCTGGCTGAGCAGCAGCAGGGCATCGGCTTCCGCGAGCCGATCCTCGCCGGAGCGGAAGAGCTGAGACCTCGGCGCGGGGATGGGGCACCAACGAAGGAGGAAGTGACGTGAGAAATTGAAACACATCAGATAAGATCAGATAACTGGCCAAATGGATCCAAATGGATAACTGGCCATCAGATAACTGGTCATATTGAATATTGAAACATCATATTTCTTTTTTACCAGAATTCACAAGTGAGATATGGACGATATGGACGATGTTTCTTTTTGGACATTGACATGTCCTTTTCAACGGGTTGAGTCTTGTCTGGGGATAACATCTGTGTGATGCAGAGAGTGACCGGACCCGGATTGTGGAAGAACATGTTGAGGAGACATGGTACCACCAAAAAGTTCGAGTGAATCGGTGGGAGGGATTCAAAATCAGTTACCCTCTGGTAAACTAACATAGCTATGGAAAATCACCATTTTTAATGGAAAAATAAACTATAAATGGCCATTTTCAATAGCTATGTTAGTTTACCAGATGGTATTACAGTATATTTCAAGATTCAAAAATATTGATAGGTATAAAAGTCATGAAGAAATAAGTCGCCTGAAGTCGTACCATGAAGAGCTTTTGCCTCTCAGCTCGCATTTGGATGAGTCCCTCGGGACTCCGGCGCTTGCTCAGCGGCCATCATGGCTTTCTGGTACTCCCCACGTTCCAACTGAACCTTCGGCAGGTGATGGGGAGCTAAGTCACAACTCAGCTTGGGAGTGGCTTAGCCGGCTTAGCCCCATGATGTATGAGTGGATATCCTTGGATGCTAGAACATGGATGAACATGGAAGAAAAAACAAAAACGTGGACCCCCCCATACTGTTCGATGGTAAAATCACATCTTGGAGATGTCATTGGTGTGTTATCCTGCATCCCCGACCTGGATAAAGGGAAATGATGCTAGAAATCCTTAAAATATCCTAAACTCGTATCCAACGCGGTCCAACGCCCAACAATTTCACCATCTAAAGACCTTATATAATTTCCAGATTTATTCCTCATGTTTCCTGCCAATGTCCATGGTTTTTTCATGTTTTTCCCCTGGATAAAACATAAAACAAGGAGAACCCATTGAGGGTCTCGTTGCTTACCCGAGTAAAGCCGCTGCCAAGACACCCGCGACAGCATCATGAGGCATCTAGCTTGACCCTGCGCAAGCTAAGAATAGATTGGGCAAAAGGGGGGAAAAGTCACACACCCATTAAAAGGATTCCCATTATTATATAATCATTATGAAAATGCCCCCAAAGTGATATAGCCATATGAAATAAATTAATTAGTGATATAGCCATTAGTAACCATTAGTGATAAATCATCCCTAGAAAATTACCCTCTGGTAAACTAACATAACTATGGAAAATCACCATGCTATTAATGGGACAATCCACTATTTCTATGGCCATGTTCAATAGCTATGTTAAATTACCAGAGGGCAATCATTGTGAAATGGATGACCACAAACCATATACATCGTATATTAGTATATCATCATATACCATGTAACTCGATGTAACTTGTCAATGGCACAATCAAAAATGGCTTGCTGGAACATCACAGCAAGAGACTTCCGTCGAGTTCGGGGATTTCCCGTTGCTATACTTGATGGGGATACCCAAAATATCGAGGTTTTATATCATTGATATATGATTGATATATGGATGTATATATATATATTATTATATTATGATGTTATTATTATGTATATGGATTAATATGGATTAATATGGTTGAGACATGTTGAGACCATCTGTTTTTTCCATTCAACTCTATCCCAAATGTGGGATCCACATTGGAGGTTTTTTTGGCTCAACAACCATGACTCTGGATGGGTTTCCTTAAGATTTCCCCTCAGTACTTTTTTTCGGCAGCATGGGCTGAGCTGTTGAGATTGAGCTGTCACCTTCGAACCCACCATTCAATGGATTGGTTTAAGGGAAAAATTACAGGAAACCATAGATTTTCCCATTAAGTATGGGTTTTCCCGTAAATTTTCCCTTAATCCAATCCATTGAACCATTCACTCCAGAAAACAAAACACAAAGGTATATGGCACACTGAAGTCAAAGGCAAACATTCTGGACCTAGGTTGAACCCATATGTATGGAACATGACTCCATCACCACGGTTCACCAACTTCTTTTTAACATTTTTGGATGTTGCACCTGACATTCCACACCATCGGCCATCTCTGCTATCCCTGGCACCTTCCAGTCGCCATGGCGCTGGCACTCCTTGTGCGCCTAGGACCAGTGACTGGCCGGGTATGTTTGGGGGATATTGACCAGTATTTTGTCGCAAAATCTCTGACAAAGAACTTCCCCAAGAAGAGATCTCAGCCAATGGTATGATTCCGATGGTTCAACCGCCCACGCCACACCTGGAACATGATGTGTCCAGCTTCAGTGTAGTCCTGTCGTCGCTGAGTCGATGTGGGTTGATCATTTTTGGTCAGCATCCAACTCTGGTTGGTGGTTGAGCCTACCCCTCTGAAAAATATGAATTATTCAGTTGGGAGTATTATTCCCAATATAAATGGACAAAAATACCAAACATGTTCCAAACCACCAAGCAGTTTTGGTCAACATCCAACTTGTCAGTGATAACTCACCCTATTTTGGTGGCTACCTGATTGACCCAATGGCCCGACCCATCGTCCCACATGGATACCCACGTGGACACAAACTTTTAAGGTGCTCTGGAGTTCATTTCGATCCGAATCCGATCAGAAACACCACACCTGGTTACCTTTTTGCCCCCAAAATGAACTAATTCATCCAGTATGACAAAACAGGGTTTCTGGAGAGTATGACTTGGGAGAAAAGTAAACATGAGACAGCTGAAAGTCTGAGACAACCAAATCTTTGGCGGGCTTATCTCAAACATCACCGCCAAAAAACTACAAGTCCACCCAAAAAAGGACACTAAGAAGAAAATCTATGACAATTATCAGGTAAATCCCTTAAATCCTGAGCTTTTGTTGTTTCTGTTAATGTTTTTTTTGACATCTCATTGGCTGAACCCCGCTGATCTTCGAAAAAAAAACACCACGGGAGAACCATCATCTGTTTAGCCACCCTCCTCCATCTCCATCAGCACTTTGGCGTCTTGGATCTTCAACTCGCTGACGTGGCGCCTCCGTGGCTTCGATGGAGGGCCTGTTGAAAGCCTTGGTGGGTCCTCCCTACACGGTTGGATCATTTACACAGCTGCTTATGGACAGCTGGATAGTTTAGAAATCTGAGATTTCCATATTTTTCCGGGCCATGACACATGACATCATCTATTGACACTTGAATCATGTTAACTCTCCATTTCCGGATGGTTAAATCATGTTAAAATCCCCATACCACATTGGGTTTGTGCAAAAGTACAATACCACTTAAATTTGATGGTTTACAATCATTAATTTTCTCATTGCAAGACCACCGATTGGGGGTAAATCCATGTAAATTCCCCATTTTCAGACCCCAATTCATATTGGAGAATAAACATGTCACATTGACATCAACCTACTATAAGTACCATCCACCATTCCAAAAATACGGATCTGGGATCTGTTGGGCATCTTCTTTTTGGGACTCAATATGTTCATATAATTTTATAAATGTATATGTTCCTTTCTGATTTCCCCGCCATTTTTCCCCATTTTTCCTCCATGTTTGACATGAAATCGATCCCTTCAGCACCACCGAGCACCCCCATGGCCCATGGCACCTGCCCTCCGCCATCGCCTCCATCGCCGTCTTCAGCGCCTCCCGCGCTCTGCGCGGCTCCCGGCGCCGCAGGCGCGCACGGCACAGCGCCGCGGCGGCGCGGGAGAACGCCACGCAACGGGAGGCGGCCTTTGGATGGAGAATTTTTCGAAGAAAATGGGGAAAAAAATATGGAAACTATGAAAAAATGGAGAAGTTTCATAAATGTTCGGCAAAGTTGAGTTGTTTTATCCATATTTTTCGTGGATTTTTGGAGGAAGATCAAGCTTTTTTACATATGTTTCTCATACCAAAGCAACAACAGACTTGGACATTGATCATTTTTTCGGCTGTTTTTTGTTCAAAATAGGAGCAATGCATGATGGCGATAACTGTTTGGGGCTGTTTTGCCATGGGTCATTAAATGTCCCCATTGAACATCACCCAACCATTATAGGTATATGGTCTACCAAATGGCTACTTTTTCAGGTGATGTCCAATATTCCCAAAATGGGACAGTTACCAAGCCCTGAATTTCCTCACTTGTTGGTAACTGAATTGTTCAAAACAGCTGGGATTTATGGATGTTCATCCCATTAAAATTGATACTTCAATTGGTTTTGACCCATCCCCACTTCTTATTTTGCTGAACCCCTTCACCACCCAATCTGCAAATCTCCTGACTCCTGATATTTCCGACCTGGGGGACTTCTGGGGCTTTCAACATCGCCTCGGACTGGTAGATTGCTGGAAGTTGAACCAATGCTGGAGATCCAAAGTTATGGGGTACCAAAGGCATTCGAACATGTTCATTATTCGAATCAAACTAAAATATATCATGGTTAATTAATGTTAATTATATATTGGTGATAACTAAATCTTGCTCTCCTCTCTCTCTCTCTCTCTGTCTCTCTCTCTGTCCCTACTCCTCTACCATTCTCTACCTTGACACAATATGTAAAGCAAAGGGGCCACCCTGTGCTAAGGGTGTCACAACCTATGTTCTCCCCAAAACTGGACGCTTTCCACCGAATCGTCAAGATAATATTACGTAACATATGATATGGTACCCCCCAAAAAAGATGCCGGAAAGCTGTAAACCTGGAAATTTCAAGGAACACAGCAGCTATAGCATCCTGGAATCCTGGAACCACGATTTTTTTGGTGTCGCTATGGACCAAAAATCTGCGGCCTCTTGCGCCGCAGCCAACGCCTCTTTGAGCTGGTCTCCTGAAAGAAATCAGCCAAGGCGGTTCTGGTTGGGCTTGGAACATGCGGCGCCAAAAGGTGAGTTGACCAACGAAACATGTTTGGATGCAACCTTTAAACATATCTTGAAAATTCTTGAAAACATCATTGAGACAAACAAAAACATGACTAAGACAATTTAAGACTCTAGTTATTGCCATTGTGATGTGGAATGGATCTGAACATTGACTCAACATATAAAATTAGCTGGGTATGACAGATTTGCTCATTTGTGGCAACAAATAAGCCTTATATATATATACTGACCTACCAAACCAGGGTGTGAACCCATGCGTCTGCGGGACATCCCCAAACCCAAACCACGCAGCCATGAGATTGGAACGTGGGGATAAATCGTGGCTATATTGGTCACAAAATCGGAGCAAACCACAGTTTCTCGTAGTCAACTATCAACTATCGTAAACTATCAACTATCGTAAACTATCAACTATCAACAACTATCATCAACTATCAACTATCAGCAACTATCACCAACTATCAACTATCAGCAACTATCACCAACTATCATCAACTATCAACTATCAGCAACTATCATCAACTATCAAGTACCAGCAACTATCATCAACTATCATCAACTATCAACTTCTGATCCCATGTTTGAGGTCATCCGACTTTGACATTGTGCTGTCCTTGCAGGTACAGCATAGACAGCGCACACAGCGCAGCTGCTTCCATCCTCCTGGGGGCAGGTTAGGGGATAATATGGACAATGATTGGTGGTATATGAATTGGGATAATATGAATTGGGATAATATGAACCCCAAAGTCTCATGGTGCTTCATCATTTTCCATCATTTTCCATCATTTTTACATGGTAAACATGGACATGATTGGACATGCTTTGAGCGTTTCGTAGAATTCTTTGCTTCTCTGAGGGCCCACGGTAAGTAAAACTTCCAGTCCTGTCACCCAGCTCTTCAAAGATTTCTTTGCACATCTGTGCTGTCTTCATGACACCCTCTGTGCCTGAAAGTGCCTGATGCCGCAGAAATGTGGCGAATCCCAGGCATGTTTGCTTTTCGCAGCACCTTCATGTGGATGAACGGTTGCTGTTGCTTTAGTACTGTCTGGGAAAGTGGCGCAAAGGTGGAGTAACATGGAGTAACATCTACTTTCCCTGGGAAAATCACTTAAACATGGATCAACATGTGCGATCAGTTTCCCCTTAAAGGGGCAGCTAGTAAGAATGTAAGAATTGCTTACTTGTCACAGGAGAACTCCGGAACGGGCCCATCCAAAGTTGCAACATGACATCTTTGCAAAGGTCCCTTCCAAGCAACTTCCAACTTCCAATTTCCATCAGCTTCATCGGTCCCAATGCCAAGAAATCTCCCTGCCTTAGTGGCTCCAATGGCAGCCAGCATCATATGAGCTTCAATTCTCCTGGCGTATGGGACCTCATGGATTGGGAGATTGATCTACTGGTGGCTACTCTGCACATATCAGGATCTCAGCTATTGATGGGAAAACACGCACAGAAATGTCAATTTTGACACCACCTTTGTAATACCTTTGTTCCATCTGATCATCTTGCAATTTTCCTATCGCTCAATCACCCCAAAAAACACCGCAAACTCAGCATACTCACTTACAATTCACATCAACCCCAAGTCAAGAATCCAAAGTCGTAGATCAAAGCTCACTCAATACCTGGTTGGTGGTATACCTACCCCTCTGAAAAATATGACTTCGTCACTTGGGATGGTTATTCCATTCCAAACTGAATGGAAAAATAATCCATTCATGTTCCAGTCACCACAAACCAGATTATCATCAGTATACCAACCATGGTTCATAGATATTAATGGTGATATTAATGGTGATATTGATGGTGATTATTACTAATGATATTGAACCACCAACCAGAAACTCGTGGGCAGAATCCCCAAATCGAACCATTGGTCACCATGACGCTCCTGTCATTCAGGCTTCGGGCACGACCGAGGCAGCTTCGGGCTGGTCTCAAGGCCACCTGGGATCCAAAATCAGTTCTGGTTGGTTGAAACACAACAAAAACAAATCAAATTACAATCCCCATATGCTCCATGTATGGTATATTTACCTACATTTGGGTGATTTCTGGGGCAAATGTAGGTAAATGTTCCATACATGGAGCATATGGGATCTATATCAACAAATGACTGTGATGTTTGTTGTTCTTTTTGGACGCCACATGAGTTTTTGTTCCGGAAAAATTGGAGAGTGTCGAAGTTGGAATTGCAATCTACGAAAGTGAAGATTTGAGCCAAAGAATGCACTGGGAAACTGACTGGAAACTGGATGGGGGCTGTCAATCTGTTCAGGAGTTTCCTGAACCATCATGACATCATGCTGCGATGAGTTGTAGTTTTGGAAAGAGAAACCACTGCATTGGGTTTTTGAATCTCTTGGATGACAATACATTTGGCCTAATCAAAAAATGCCTAACAAAAAGATTGGCTTTCATCTTGCTGAAAGCTCAAAATAATGCCGACAAATGATCGGGACATCCTGAAACAAAAACTAATACTATCTAACAAGAACCAGTACTTCTTTTCTTGCCCTGGCCTAGTCTTTATTCACTATATTATAGGGCTAATATATGTATATATATTAAATAATAATAATAACAACAATAATAAAAATTAAAAATAAAAATAATAATATTTGTTTACAATTCTAAAAAAAAACTATCCCCCATTAATCATTGGAGAATTTTGGGGCTGGGTCAAGATCCAAATTCACCATGCCATGGTGGAGACCAACTTTGCGCCTCCGGTGCTCCCAGTCGCAGGTGTGCGGCACACAGCAGCTCTGACAGCTGGGCCTGGAGCATCTGCAGGAAACCGTGGCTTTTTTGACCCGGCCTGGCTATGACGAACAGTTCGCCATGGGATTTCGATGGCCCTAATCGAAATAGATGGTGAACAACTGGGTTTACCTATCTATTAATAGCATGGGTGGATCTTTCCATGGCGAACTGTGAATGTCATAACCAGATGGTAATGTTTTTTTGACATCTTTCTAGCTTGAAATCCAATACAGGCGTCTTCGAATCTCATGTTCATCATTTTTTTCAATTTTTGGGAATCTGAAGATCGGTCGGGATGTGCACTGGCCTCACATTCCAGCTTCAGAGGGCCTTGATTCTCCAAGATGCTCATGGATGCCTCAGGGGTGTTTACAAAACGGCTGCCCAACATCATCCAAATCGCTTGTGCCATGGATCTGACCATTCATATCTCCATTTTCTGAGCTGTTGAGATACTCTCCATCTTCTCCATCACTGGAAATCTGGTTATTTTATTTATTTTTATTTCATGTCCAGGGCTACTGGATGCTTGATCCCAGATTTTGAAAAACATGCTGCTTCCTGGGCTCAAAGTATCAGCATGTCATGGCACCTCCGCTTTCTTCACCGCGTTCTCCGGATCGTCCTCTGCAGGTTCTCGGGATCTCTGCCGCAATCGCATCCGCCAGCTATGTTTGAATCAAACAGCCCCCATTCTATGGTTGCAAAATATGAGTATGTGTTATAAAATAATCCTAGCTCTACATCCACCACGGTTTCTGAGGGGTGTTTAAATCGTTCTAGCTCTACATCCACCACGGTTTCTGAGGGGTGTTTAAATCGTTCAAAAAAAAGGAGGATGGGATTCACCACTTTCAAACCACTTTGTCAAGTTGGCAAAACACATCCACTGCACCTCCTTCCAATACAACAAGGCCATTCTCTGCAAGGTGTACGCCTGTCATGGAGCCAATCAGTGAACGATTTGCGCAAAAGGTTGGTATCCGATCACCACAAGCATCCGAAAACGATGTTTGATTGTTTGATATTTACAATCTGGTTATTTGTTACATAGCCATGGAAAGATCCACCCATTTTCAATAGGTAAACCATCTATTTCTATTTCTATGGGCCATTCTCCATGGCTATGTTAGTCATAACCAGAGGGTAATTTGATAGGCGCTGGATATGTTATCTTTGACTATCCAAAAAAACTGCACGTATTGGTGCATTCTATGTATAGTCAGTAAGCAGCCAGGACGTGTCAATTGTCAGCAATATTCCAGACCTGAAACAACATGGCGGTTTCCTACAATGGGACCGCAAAATATTCCAGAACTACTTATTGTCAATGGGAAAAACAATGGTTTGGGGCACCCATATTTCAGAAAACATAACACATGGTTTTTCTTGAATTGTTTGCTCGCCCTGCCCCCCCCCCATCCAACTGACCAGAACGATTTCACCAAACCTGCCATCGCAGGTCTCCGCAGAACTTGAAGACCTCAAGCGCCTGGGTCGGGGTCAACCGGTCAACCCAAACATCTATGGGTTCCTATAGGTTTCCATGGGTCCCATGGTCCAGAAAAAGTGGATTTCCTTGGGATTTTCGGATGATCAGCCATCTGCTTACTGGTGCGTTTTACGCAGGGAAATTTCGGGAATGATCCATTTCATCACTAGTAATAATCATCCCAGCAAACCCCCAGTCCCATCCATTCCCTACGTTTAGCAAACAGTAAGTCTGGGATGATCATATTGTTCAGTCTGCCCTTGGAAATCCAGTCATGATGCTGGGATGATCATCTTTACCCATATACTCTTGGTTTTTATATCATTTACCCTCTGGTGAACTAACATAGCAATTGAAAATGTCCATTTATAGTGGATTTTCCCATGAAAAATGGTGATTTTCCATTGCTATGTTAGTTCACCAGAGGGTAAATCCCATTACATCACCATGCTGTTCCCATAACATCACCATGGAGGTTTGAAAAAAACCGGGCTACCCCCAGTTCTCATCCATTTATAGATGGATGTTCCATGAAATCAACCATCCAGCTATGGTATCCCCATGACTATGGGAACCACCATATAGTTGAACCATACCATTTTGGTTAATTAATAAACATGAATGATGGTTCATTATATCAATGAAATGGTTAATACATATACTAATACTAATACAATTTATATTATATATCATTAATGTATATTAATCTGGTTGGTGGTATACCTACCCCTCTGAAAAATATGAGTGCGTCGGTTGGGATGATGATTATTCCCAACTGAATGGAAAAATAATCTATTCATGTTCCAAAGCACCAACCAGTTACCATAGTATTTACTATCAGATTTACCATATTCTATTTACCCAGTATTTACATGTATTTACCATCGATTATATATCATTAATATATTATTTTTTAGTCTGGTTGATGGTTTCAATCAACCCCTCTGAAAAAATATGAGTTCGTCAGTTGGGGTGTCTATTCCCAATATATGGAAACATAATCCATTCATGTTCCAAAGCACCAACCAGGTAATCCATGAATATTCCATTCATATCCACTAATCCCTGATTTTGCCAGGTGTTGTTCTGATTTTGCCAAAGCACCAACCAGTAATGGATGTGAATGGGTTCAACTGGTTCCCGTTCGCCCCAGGTGACCTTTATATAAAACCAGCGCCACCGGTGGATCCGTCCTTCTGCGCCGCCGCAACACCGCTGCCGTGGGCGTCCGTCGCAAAGGCCAGCTGCAGCAGGGCTCGCCCAAGGCCGTGGGAGTGGCGGCCCTTGAAGCGAGCTGTGGCCGTTGGTTTTGTTGGGAAAATCATGGGAAAATCTATAGGAAACCATAGATTTTCTCATGAAAATGATGGGTGTTTGCTGTAAATGTTACCTTAAACCCATCCATTGACATGTGGAACATGGTGGAACCACCATGGTAGGTATTCAAAGCCGTCATTGTAGGCTGTAGGTGACATTTTATTAGAATATTTT